ATTAACTTTAGGATTTTTTCATCCCCATTAAAAAATTCTTCATATTTTTCCCCAAAGCTCTAGTAACCACCATTCTACTTCTTGTTTCTGAGTTTGATGTATCATATAAGTAGTCACACAATGTTTGTCTACCTCTGACTGCATTAGTTCAGATAGGTAATGTCTTCACAGTTCATTCATTTTGTAGCCATGTCAGAATCTCCTTCTTTCAAGGCTGAACCACACTCCCGTTTCAATTATTACCTTTTGTTTAATCATTTCTCCATTGGTGGACATGTGGCTTGTTTCTAGCTTTTGGCTATTATGAATAAAGCTGATATGATGGAGGGTATAGAGAATATCTCTGTGAGACTGCAGTTTGTTTTCTTTCAGATCTGTACCCAGAAGTAAAGTTGCTGTGTCATAACAGTCACCATGGTTGTTTTTACAATTTATTTGAAATTGGTGTTCAATTAATGGCCTTGTCTTGCTTAGATTTTCTATTGCTGTGAAGGGACCACATAACCATGTCAACTCTTATAAATGCAAATATTTAATTGAGGTGGCAGCTTACAGTTTTAGAGGTTTAGTTCATTATCATCATGAAATGATGGGGAACATGGCAGCGTGCAGGCAGACATGGTGCTGGAGAGGTAGCTGAGAATTGTACATTTTGACCTGAAGACAACAGAAAGTAGTCTATCTCACTGGGCATGGCTTCCACATAGATGAACTTCAAAACTTGCCTCCACGGTGATGCACTTCTTCCAACAAGACTACACCTACTCCAACAAGCCACACTTCCTAATACTGCCACTCCCTCTGGGGTCCATTTTCTTTCAAAATACCACAGGCCTGCATGTTTGAATTAGTTTATATTTCTTCTAAATTCTAAATTTCTTTTAATCAAAAACTTCCTTCTCCGCTTCCTGTCTTTTTTTTTTCCAATTCATTTAATGAACAAACCAAATTACTTGAACTATTATCATTCCCAAGTGTCAATTGATTTGGTTTATAACCTCAAGGTAGCGCTCTCTCCTCAGAGTGACAGATGGATTCATAGATTCAAGCAGTTCAGGTTGGTAATTATTTCCTCAGGAGGCACATGGTATTTGATTATATTTCTTTTTGTGATCTTAGCATCCTTGAGTGATCTATGCTTCTATTCATTATTCATTGGGTTTGTAGAGTGGTGGCATTCTGTTTGTTTGCTTGGTTTTACCATTTATTGGGTTGCTCCCAGTTTCATGTTCAGCTACCATTGTTATATAGACTAGAGCTACCTGTCTATGAATGGCATAATCCACAGTGGCTTAGGCCACTTCATTTATTAGCTAGAATTATTTCTTCAAAAGGTTTATTTATTTTTATTTTCTGTGTTTAAGTATTTCATCTGCATATGTGTATGTGTATAATGTGTATATCTGGTACCCTTATACCCCTAGAGGCCAGAAGAGACTGGAACTGGAATTATAGATGGCTGTGAGCCACAGTGTGGGTTCTGGGAATTGAACCCAGGATCTCTGGAAATATGGATAGTGCTTTTAACTACTATGCTATTTCTCCAACTCCTAGAATGATTCTTTAAAGATAAATATTTGATTCTTTCCCTTGATTTACAAGTGCTGTTATATTTTTATCATATTTTACAGTACTGGCGTGGAATCCAGGGACTCACACATGCTGCACAAGTGCTCTGTCACTGAGCTCCCCAGCCCAAATTTTCAGTGTTCATTCACTACTCAGCACCAGCAACTGACTTTTGTTCATTTTGATATAATTGAAAGACTGTGAATCTAGCTGGTTGTAGTGGTGTAAAAATTTAATCCCAGGACTCTGGAGGCAGAGGCAAGTGGATCTCTGTGAGTTCAAGGGCAGCCTGGTTTACATGGTGAGCTCTAGGACAGCCAGACCTAGTAAGACCCTTTCTCAAAGAGAAAGAAAAAAGTCAAAAAATAAAAAAAAATTGTATATAAACATATTTTATGTGTTTCAACCCATATCTAATTACTTAGTGGTGCCCAGAACTATCCTGTGGTTTGGCCTGCAGGAACCTCATGCTGGGTCCTAAGACCATAATAACTTTGGTAACTTCCTTGCTATCAAAAAGATTGCTAAGCCTGGCTTTGTCTTTTATGCCCCAGATTTGGAAACAGTAACTGCTCCAATAATTCTTACTTTTGTTTATTGAGAAATTATTTTTTGGTTCTGTTTATTGAGAAATTATTTTAGATGACACTCTGAATAGTCAGGATGGGGTATTGTTATTGTTGGTTTGTTTCTCTAAATTATCAGAGCTAGGAAAATACACTTATGGTGTAATGTGAATTCATTTAGCACATGGGTTTGGTTTTTTTTTTTTTTTTACTTTCTTTGTCTACTCTTTTCTCCTTTCTTGTTTAATAAGAGTACATGTTCTCTAGGGCAGCAGCAATGAAAGACTAAGAATATTAAAAGTACACTTCTGTTTTATTTAACATTGCATGTCTGTTTCAAAATGACAGCCCTGGCATCACATACACAGTATGGTTATGAAGAGTTCTTAGCTTCAGAGTTCTCTTTGAATTTCAGTATAGCTTCAAAGCATAGTTAATTACTATCATAATCCCTCCAAATAACTGCTGAGTGTGGTAATATCATCAGCTTGATACAGGCATGTTGATTTGTTTTAGGATATTGTCAATTTTATATTTTAAATCTATAAAAGTAGAAATGGCTCAGTAGGTAAGAGCACCAGCTGCTCTTCCAGAGAACCCAGGTTCAGTTCCTAGCACCTGAACATTAGCTCACAATTGTCTTTAATTCCACTTCCTGGGGATCTGATACCCTTATGCAGACACAACAACAATACATAGGAAAAAAATGTAGATGGAGTTTACTGTTCCCACAGCCGTTTAGACCCAAACCCAAATAAACACACAGAGACTTATACTTACTATAAACTGTTTGGCTGATGGTTCGGGTTTCTTATTGGCTAGGTCTCTCTTAATTATTAACCCATAACTTTTTGTTTTTTTTGGGGGGGGGTTTCAAGACAGGGTTTCTCTGTGTAGTTTTGGAGGCTGTCCTGGCACTCGCTCTGTAGACCAGGCTGGCCTCGAACTCACTGAGATCCGCCTGCCTCTGCCTCCCGAGTGCTGGGATTAAAGGCGTGCGCCACCAACGCCCGGCAACCCATAACTTTTAATGTATGTATTCCTACATGGCCTTATCTTACCAGAGGACGCTTGGTGCGTCCTATCTTCTCTGTAACTACATGGTGTCTCCTGGCTGCTTCTCTCTGCCTCCTCTCCCCAGAATTCTCCTCGTCTGGCAGCCCTGCCTATACTTCCTGCCTGGCTAATGGCCAACCAGTGTTTTATTCATCAACCAACAAGAGACACATATATACAGAAGAACCTCCCCCATCATAAATAAATCTTTAAAAAGAAGACTAAAGGTTTATTTTATGGAGCTTGATCTATGTTTTCCTCTCTTTTCCTTCCATCCTTTCATGAAAACATTTTAAAGATTTATCTTATTCTTCCTTAAAATAAATGTAAACCAACAGTAAAATTTTAAATACATATTTATATTTCTGCTTTTCTTTTTTGTTTTTGTCTGTGTGGTGTCTTTTTGTTTGTTTGTTTGTTTTGTTTTTCAAGACAGGGTATCTCTGTATAGCAGCTCTATCTATCCTGGAACTTGCTTTGTAGACCAGACTGGCCTTGAACTCACAGAGACCTGTCTATCTTATTCTCTTATTTTATAAATGTTGCACATACTTTTTATCCCTTACCTTTTAACTTTTTTTATGTGATGCACAGAAAGAGACCAAGGCAGAGAGTAAGGCCAGAGGAGGATATTAGGTGTCCGTCTTTGTCACTCTCTACTTGATTCTCAGGAGTAAGGGTCTCACTCTACCTGAAGCTCAGTTGGCGGCCAGCAAATCATAATGATCTCTCTCCTGTGTCTGCCCTGACACCCCCTAAATGCCCAGCTTTTCACATGGGTAGTGGAGATATGAATCCAAATTTTCCTACTTATCCACATATTCTTATCTGCTGAGCCATCTCCCCCCCTCCTCCTTGCCTTTTGTTGTTGTTTTTGTTTTTCATATTTATTTTGCCTTGTATTCTTGAAACAGGCTGGTCTGGTATTCATTATATAGCTGATACGTTCCTCAAACTTACAGAACTTTTTGCTTCAGTCTTCCAAGGGTTAGTATATGTGTAAGCCACTTTGCCTGACCTGCCTTGTTTGTTTTCACTTAAGAAAATATCCTGACAGGTAGCATGATACATGCCTTTAATCCAAGCATTCAAACTCAGAGAGAGGAGGATCTCTGTGAGTTTAAGGTTAGCCTTCTCTACACAGCACATTGATGGCATCTTAAATGGTTTCTAATTTTTTATTTTAAAAGATTGAATATATATATTTCAGTTACTTTTCTAGTTTATCTTTTGAATTAGATTTTCTGGAAGTGAGATTGCTTGATCCAAAAGTAAAATAATACAATTTTATTAGATGCTTTCAAATTTCTGTTTATAGTTTTAGTGTTTTAACATTCCTATCAGCAGCATTTTGCCAACAAAGTGTAATGTGAGGTTCTTTTTCTTTTCTTTTTTTAAAGCTTTTTGTCCATCTGTTGGTTAAAAAAAATAAGTGCCGGGTGGTAGTGGTGCACACCTTTAATCCCAGCACTTGGAAGGCAGAGGCAGGCAGATCTCTGTGAGTTTGAAACCAGCTTGGTCTACAAGAGCAAGTTCCAGGAAAGCCTCCAAAGCCACAGAGAAACCCTGTCTCGGGGGAAAAAAATATATCTTGTGTTTTTCTACTGTTCTTTCTTTCCTCCTCCTCCACTTCCTCTTCTTCCTCCTCCTCTTCCTCCTCTTCCTCCTCCTCCTCCTCTTCCCTGCTCCTCCTCCTCCTCCTCCCTGCTCCTCTTTCTTCTTCTTTTTAATAAGCAAGGCAAGTGAGATGTTAGTTTTTGGTTTTCTGGATTTTCTAATGATTCTGTTTTTTCTATTTGTGTTTTTCAGAGTCAATACAGATTTGTCTGTGAAGCTATTTTGAAAGTATATGAAGAAGGCTTTGTTAAACCCTTAACAACACCATCAAATAAATAAGAAAGCAAAAAGATTAGGATAAGTGTTGGGAAACTGATTTTTGTTACATTCACTGTGCCATAATGCTGCTTGCAGGAAATGGCATCTCACACAAAAAAAGAGAACTCAAACAAACTTTGAAAACTTCAGCACTATTGCACTTTATGTTTAAAAAAGTCACTCAAAACCTATAACTCATATGTTTGACTATTTTGTGCTTTGCTCTGAACAAATAGTGGGAACTGAATATGTTCAGGGTAGTTTATGGAATTTCGAGGTGGTGCCATGCTGTCCCCTCTGGTGGAATTGCCCCAGACAAGGCTCAGAATTCTCATCTCTGTTACACACCTATACCTGAAAGCAAAAAGGAGTGAACATCAGGAGTCTGCTCTGGTCTTTCCAGTGGTTCATGTACTTACTCTACTGATTACCAGATTTTATTTTCCAAGCGTTAGCAATACCATTCTCAACATTAGCCAGTACACTGCCTGTGGATGCAGCACATCCTCCCTGACATCCCAGTAGGAACCTGCTGTTGAGAAGAAAAGTGGGACTTGCTGTTCCCAGGAAATGCTGCACAGTGTCCATTTACCAGCATCTTATAGAAGCTATATCTATGAATCTATGGATTTTCTTGGATTTAATAATGTAACTTATATTTATCATAAGGTTGGCTTATTCCAAATCATGTGATTTCACATTCTTGATGTAAAGGAATGCATGCATTGTGTCTTAACCCCTTAAGTGCCTTGAATTATCTTTGTCTAATGAAAAGGCACTCATTTGACCCAATAGGAGGTATGCATACTATACATTCTTATAGTTTTATGAATTTTTAATAGGTTCACAGTGTTAAAAAAAAAACATCTTCTTATGTTGAGAGTTATACAAAGAAGGGTAAGGAAATTCTGTATCTTTTTTGTTGTTGTTGTTGGTTTTTTGTTTGTTTGTTTGTTTGTTTTACGAGACAGGGTTTCTCTGTATTGTTTTTGAGGCTGTGGGTCCAGCCTGGCCTCGAACTCACAGAGATCCACCTGCCTCTGCCTCCCGAGTGCTGGGATTAAAGGCGTGCGCCACCACTGCCCGGCGGAAATTCTGTGTCTTACTCAGTGCTTGCTTGTACTTTGCCATAAAAGCCAGAATGTCTGAGTTCTGCTGAGAGTGCATTCTGCTGCCATGGAATTGTTCACAATCTGTACATTCCTTTATTGAGGGACAGGAGTTAAAGTTCAGCAGCTTAACTTAAAAAGAGAGTTCATTCTTCAGATTTCATAATTACTTTCCCCCTAACTTAAAAAGTGATGTTTAACATGTACATTAACACTCTAAGCTACAGTTACAAAGGTAATTATTTGGGTTTATTCCTGTCTCTAACTGAAGTATTTCCCTCCAGCACTCTTTCCAGTTCATATCAGGCTGTATTCACAATGGTCTTTCTTTCATTTTTAATTTTTACTTTATTTTTTGAGTGTTGTTTTGTTTCTTTCAAGACAGAGTTTCTCTGTGTAACAGTCCCAGCTTCCCTGGAACTCTATCTGCAGACCAGGCTGGCCTTGAACTCATGCAGAGCTGCCTGCCTCTGCCACCTGAGTGCTGGGATTAAAGGCATATGCCTGGCCATACTGGTCTTTTCATTGAAATTCTTCAGATAAGTAATTAAAAACAATTGACTTCTTCTAAATGTGACTCCCAAGATAGGAAAATGTAGGTTTTCTTGTCATTTTTGTATACAATTATATTATCTAGTTTATATATGTCTATTAAATTATAAGCATGTTTAGTGAGGCTTTTAATTGTCCATCTTGACTGAAGATACAACTCCTATTACAGATATGTGTATTTTCCTTGTCAGCTTTATCTGTTTTTAAATCTATGGAGATGGATCTTTAAAATTGCCCAATTTAATGTGAGAATTTGCTTACCTAGTCAAATGATATTTATATGGGTATAGTTAAAATAGGCACATTTGCTAATGGTTTCAGAATATTTCTGTAGTCTTGATAAAACATAGATTCCAATAGTAAGTATTTTGGACAACTATTTAATTGGATGGGTGACATACATTTACAAATCTTTAGTAAAATCTAAATTATCAATTCACATATTCAGAATCCATGATAGTAAAATTCAGAAGTTAAACTCTAAACATTAATGGCCAGCATGCCAAATAAATTATCATTTACAAATATTGTGTCTTATTTTTTAAAGAGAGACGTAAACATAATCTTTATGTCAAACAGAAGTCCTCCTATTCTTATTTCACATGCAAGACAATATATGATAGTGAACAATAGTTTCACTCAGACATTCCATTTTCTACCAGAGGCAAAAGTAATTTAGGCTAGTAGGATAGATATCATTACAAGTTAAAAAGGGAAATCAAGTTGGAGATCTATACATTATAGAGCTACTTTATTCCCTTGGTGGACTTTAGTCTAGATTTTAAATGTCTGCCTTTGCCATGTGGATAGAATGTGACGACCATAGGCAAAAGAAGAAACGCTGTGTAGAAGTAAAAATGCAATGTCATGATTCCCTTGCTCTTTAACTTTTTGGTTTGTTCACACCTCTGTAGTTAACAGTGATGTTGGCAATGAGCATTGCTGCCTTTTAAATCACTGATGCTTGTCAGTAAGTGACAAGTGTAGACTTAAATTTAAATTTCTCATCGGAGAACTGTCCTCTATCAGTATTTTACATGTAAAAACAGTCCTTTTAGAATATTTGTTAGAATCTTAAGCTAAAATTACCCTTCACAAATTGTTAATATGGATATGCTAATTAAACTTTCTTAGTTATCTAACCTATAACACTGTCTTTTGCACCTAAGCATTTAATCAGTTTATTAATCTAAATAGATTTCTAGAAATAATGATAGTTTTCATAGCCAAGTAGTGCTAGACTTCATACATACTAATGTAATATTATGTGACGGAGAAAAAATTTCTTGAATTAAAGTACTTTTCCATTTCCCTAGCCACCCTTAGAACCAAACCCTGACAAACTAAAGAAAGAATGCATTTATTCTGACAAATGAAAATCAATATTGGTGAATTAGGGACTTTTGTAGATGCTAAATAGTAAATGTGAAATTTTCCCTTTCTGAATTTAGATAATTTTTCTATGCTTCTTTCAAGGATTTTATTGAGCATCTGGTTTTCATCAGCACTGTCTAGATACTCTGTAGTAATATTTTGCAGTAGACTATGCATTCACAAAAAGAATAGGTTGTACTTGTTAAACTAATCCACCACTCAAGAGTGAGGCAGAATAAACAGCCCCCCAGAAAACTTTTTGTGTAGCCAACTGGGGCAAGTAATTGGAAAAGGACAATAACTGATCATTTTGACCTAAGAATAAAGATAACATTGTATGAAAATTGCACAAAGTTATGCTGAGCCATTAAGACAGTTATTTGAAGGTTTGGGGTACTACTGTGCATGCCTTCATAGAAAAACATCAGTGCATTGGTTTGCATGTGTACTTCATAAAGAAAGTCCAGAGACTGAGTGAACTTTAACCATGGGGTTGTTTATATCTCTTGGCAGGTCTTAACCAAATCTAATTCGTTATTTGAGCAAAAAATTTCTTGTCTCACTACACTTAAGAGCTATAAGAAGTTGAAAGATCTTTGTCCAATCTCTACTTTCTTATGATAGGAAGGACAAGTGCCCAGCAATTAATTTAATAGAATTTGGTCATCTTCAAGTTTTCTAATTCTCAATCTAGAGAATTGTTGGTATATTAGACTAGAACTTCAGTAAATTGTGAATATGATATTTTATCTATTTCTACCTGGGAAGCACGCTCAGTATTGTCACTTTGAAACTTTGACACCCGTAGGAATTTGAAAGTAGGCTTCAAAAGTGATGCCAATTAGGACTTGGGATAAGTTTGCTAGTTATGCTTCCCTAACAGATGACTATAAGCTGTTGTGAAGTATTTAGGCTGATAAACATATAGTAGGCAAACTGAACTGCAAGTAGGAAGGCAGTTTTAAAGCACTTAAAACAAAGAACTGAGATTTACAACTTATATCTACTTGCAAAATTATTTATATTCATAATGTGAACGTGATAAAATTGAAGTATGACTTGTTTATCAGGAACAGAGAAGGAAACATGAATTTATAGCAATATGCTATCTAATGTTTGTGCTTTGAATATTTAAAATACTCTGATGGTAAAGTTGCCAAAGTAGTTTTGAATTCATGTAAGTTGTTTATACCACAATAATGTGGGATATGTTTACAGGCTCTTTATAGTACTTATTTTGTAGTTCTGATGAATTTGTATTTAAGCCATTTATAGTAAATATGTGATGATAAATATTTGCTGGAATAAACATCTCAGTAATATAGCAAATCATATCTAAATGATCCCATAGTCTGCTTTCATACAAGGTGCTGCATCCACAAAGCAAGTACTTTGTGTTAACATTTCTCATGTCCCACATTTGCACCAACCATCCAACTGCCATTCCTGGAGCCATTTGTGGTGCTTCCTCCTAGCCAAACAGCTGTCACTATGTTATCAGTGGATTGAATTTATCAAATATTTACAATTACTGGTCTGTGTGCAAATATTCACTTGTGTCTCAGTGTGATCAAAAACTGTAGTGAATTTTGTGAAATTCTTAGAGAATTATTATATATATAAAGAAATTTACATAATCTTAACTTTTGAGGGCTAATTGCTAATAGATAATTTCATCAATTTTGAGAGTACAAGAAATCAGTCCCAAAATTGTATGTTTTGGGTTCTGCTTTTTACCACAAATTTTGTTTTTCATGGATTTCATTTACTCTAAGTAGTAGTTACTATAATAAACTTCTCTATGTTAACAGAAATAGGAACCCATGTATTCCAGCCCATAATTAACTTTATTTCCATGCCCTAGGTGAATTTGTTTTGAGTTCATACCATAAAGTTACTTTGTTTCCGTATATAAATGTGTTGCTGCTTATTTTATGATTTTCTACTATGATATACTGTTGATTTCTAAAGTTTTGTTAATTTTTTAGTTCTCCAAAGCTAAATGGACAGCCATTAGTCATAGCTGCTTGACAGCAGTTCATCAATGTTAGCTAGGTATGCATACACAAGTAAGCCAGTAGTACTTTTAATTGCAGAACGGTATTAGCAATATTGCAAGTTAAAAGCTACACGATTAAGGAAGAGTTCAAATGTTTAGCTTTCTGGAACCTTGTGAAATTTCCAGTATAAGAATGAAAAAGAAAACCTTGTTAAAGTCATAAAGGTTTCAATTAAACATTGTAGAGTTTTCCTATTATTATGTAAATGATATACAGAAAATATTTTTCTATGAACAGAAGGTTAATAAAACTGTTAACTTTAATTTCATTGTTTAAAAGGGATAAAACAATATTGGTATGTCTTTCATGCTGTAAAGAAAATGAATGTATCTTTCAAATGTTACAGTTACTACTTGAGTCTAAGTATATTGTGTTTTAAAAAAGAGAGAGATCTGCAAAGGACTGAAAAGAGTGTTACAAGTCATTATGTAAAATGCATTGTTGGAAGAAATGGAATTTTGTTATAAATGGTCACTGTCAAAGCATTTTTCACATATAGTGTACATTCATTTCACATTGCTCTGTTTTAGCTCTAGAAGTTTTCCTTAAAAGTTGTATATACTATTTTGAGTGTAAAGTATTTTAATTCTACACTTGTAGGGTGTGGAAGAATGTTTTTGTGTTAGGCTAAGTGTGCTCTGCATGTGTCTACCATGGAGGAAAGTTCCCAAGCTTTGTCAATGTCACAGCCACCAATGGGGGCATCATTATCAGAATGTGAAGCCAGAAACCCATGCCTAAGAGCCACTGCAGCAATTTTGTGCAGAGGCCTCTGACCCTGCTAACGAGTTTCTCTTTTTATCTTCAGTGATGTGGCTAGTAGGACCACTGGGCCCAACTCTAGTGACTTAGAACAGTGGTGGCTTGTATGCTTACAAGTTTATTTAGCTACGTGAAAACTTTTCACTTTAAATCAGTGCCTGTAGGCATGATTTATTTGTTAAATAGCTCCTTTAAATCTAGTAATTATCAATTATTAAATTTTATGAAATTGGGAATTCATTGTTTTAATACTTTCTAACCCTCCATACTAATTTTAACTTATCATGACGTACCCTGAACAACCAAAAGGTAATCCAAGGTTAGTGTCAGATTTCCTAAACCCCAGCAGTTATAAAGTTTGTCATTATTAATTCTGTTAACTGAGAAGTCACATTGTTAAGTAAAGTCGCTGCCAGGGCTCATCAAGAAAATAGCTTTCAAAAAAGAAAGAAAGGAAGGAAGAAAGAGAGAGAGAGAGAGAGAGAGAGAGAGAGAGAGAGAGAGAGAGAGAGAGAGAGAGAGAGAGAGAGAGAGAGAGAGAGAGAGAGAGAGAGAGAGAGAGAGAGAGAGAGAGAGAGAGAGAGAGAGAGAGAAAATAACTTTCTTCAACCTTTGGCCCAAATAGTTGCTGCTTTGTGGTTTCCCTAGATCTACTACTATATGTCATTACATCCACTATTATCATAAATGGACCTATTTACCTTTTTAAAATATTTGTATGATAGTATTCTAGTTATTTGTCTTCCTGGTCAAGGATGCTCCAAGTCAATTCTGCGATTTCTTTGGGTTCATCTTTCCCAATCTTTCAGTGAGTTAGCAAGACTCCTCATTCCTGAATCCTGTAGAGTAGGTCATATTTCAGTGCTAAAATTGATCTCAAATAGCACTTTATTTCATGCTTACTACTGACTTAATTTATACATTAAAACTATCTATCCTAGAAGTTTTGTAAATACAAAAAAAATGATTAGTATTAGAGTTTATTAGATTGGCCCCAAGTTTAAATGCTTTATAATTATCTCTTGATAGCTTCTTTGATATTTAAGAGGTAACCTATGTGATTTTAGCTCTGCAATTTTTCTGTAATTTGTATAATACAATAGAGGCTGCCCAACTTACTGTGTTACTGTACTCAGTTCTCTCAGCTAGCTTCCGCCAAGCTTGGCTTACTAAAATTGTTTCTGCTCTGCATTTTGCGGGCATCACATGAATACTTAGAAATCACATTTTTTCAGTGTAGTACCTAGATGTTAAGTAGATGCTGCACCACAAGTACATAGTTTATATAGAAGACAAAGGGCAGAATTTATGATGCTGTAACAGTTTATATTAAGCTGTTTTCATATTCTGCCAATACAGTATATCTGCTGTAAAAAATGAAAGTTGTCTACCCCAGTGTTCTCCAGCATCAGAACATACTACTTATGAACTATGTTGTAATCTTTTCAAATAAGAAAAGCTAGTCCTTGTTTTCTACAGTGTAGGTTTAACTTTAGGACTGATAGTTTATACTTATCAGTACTATTTTTAAGCAGTAGTTTTAAAATTATTTCTATGTAGAGGGTATTTTACTTTGGGAACTTTCTTTTCTTGTAATAGGTGCTATATGTAAATATGGAGTGAGAAGTTTGCTTGGTTAAAAGTCTATTTCCTTATTAAAATATTTTTCATTTCTGTTTCCATTTCATGTTTTGTACTGAACTAATAGCAAAATGTAATTAGTCCCTTAATGTTGTTGACTACCTTTTCTCCCAGTTGTACAAAGATATCTCTGTGTGCTTTGGTCTCGTGATTATGAGGCAAAGAAGCTAAGAATGAAAACTTCAAATACAACAAGCTTGAATTTGGTCAACACTGGATTAATTGAAATGATCACTGTGCATTTGTCACTGCAGATTACTATATGTTTGAAAGGCCTTATGTGTTTGTCTTAATTTCAGTGAAAATTAGAATTCCTGCCATTCATGTTTTTAAACAATCTACACATACCAACAGTGAACAGGATAAAAAAATGCTAGTTTGCATTGAAACTGTTTTAGTCTTAATGTCAATTTATGTTATGTTATGTGCAATGCTAGTACACATATTTTGTTGGGCATATTTCATTTTGATTGAGTAGTTGTTCAGGTACAAATGTGAAAAGGAAAAAAAACACACCTCTAGCTGTTAATATTCAATTGAAAAATAAAGATGTGCTTTACTAATCTAATGACTTTGTGTCAAGATTATTTCATGGGAATTTATCAACAATAATTTAGTCCTTAATGAGTGATCAAAAGGGATGATTGATTGCTTAATATGATGGATTTTTTTTCTAGAAGTACTAGCACACACAGTGGCTCTTTTTTGTTGTGTTTTTTGTTTGTTTTTCTTTTTCCTGAAGACAGGGTTTCTCTGTGTAAATTCTGGCTGTCCTGGAACTCACTTTGTAGACCATGTTGGCCTCCAACACACAGAGATTCTCCTGTCTCTATATCCCAAATTCTGGGATTAAAGGTGTGCCACCACCCAGCCATACAATGACTATTCTTGAGGTAATGGGGAGAATAGAGATTTAAAGAGAATTTAGAAAATTAAAGAACATTTGTGTGTGTGGTGTATGGACATATACATATTCTGGAACAGCTACCTATTCTCACACTTGTGGGAGTCAGGGGAGGGCATTGGGTTGTCCTCTATCAATCTCCACCCTATTCTCTTGAGAGTCGAGATCTTTCATTGAACCTAGAATTTTTCAGCTAAGACTGGCTGGCCAACAAGTCTGTGATCTCTATCTCTAACAACCTCAGCATGGGTTGCAGGGACACATATCTGTGCTCAGCTTTTTACATGGGTTCTGGGAATCCCAACTCAGGTCCTCATACTTGAGCAGTAAGCATTCTTTTTGTTTGTTTGTGTTTTCAAGAGTTTTCTCAGTCCTGGCTGGCCTAGAACTCACAGAGGTTCTCCTCCCACACACTAGGATTAAAGGCACTACTGCCTGGCTGAGCAGTAGGCATTCTTACCTACTAAGCCATCTCTCTACCAGCCTAGAGATAAAAAGTATCTGCAGTCTCAATTGTGGCCACACCTCCTCCAGTAATCCCAAAGCAATACCTTGTCACTCAAAAACTTCTCTGGAAGTAAACCTGAATCACATCTTTCTAGGTGCAGTCAGGCTTGCCATTTGCATGTTAGAGGGAGGGAAGAAAAAAGGACTACTAGCTCAACTTTTGTATTAGTTTTGGGTTTTTTTGGAGGGGGGTTGTTTGTTTTTGTTTGGTTTTTAGGTTGCTTTGGCTTGCCTTGAACTCAATAAACTGCCTGCCTCTGCCTTTCAAGTGCTGGTATCAAATGGCTGTACCACCACACCCTGCAACCAATAACTGTTTAGGTGCATACATGGCAAAGGCAGGTACCTAGTGCATAGTGACTTGTGCCTATAGTCCCACCTACTACTTTTAAGGCTGGGGTAGGAGGATCATTTTAGGACAGGAGTACAGGGCCAGCCTGAGCAACACAGAGACTCTGTGTCAAAAATAAGAGAAAAATTATGAAAAACATCTTGAGGAAAATCCAACATGATTTATGGCAGCCTCCTACCAACTCCCCATCTCTGATAAAAGCCCCCCCAAACTTAGTGAAAAACAGACCTTTAATCCCAGTATTCCAGAGATTCAAATTTGGCCCTGTAAAAGCCAGTCAGCCTGTAAACGTCACCTCCCAAGGGCCAGGTAATTAACTGGAATATTGGGAGTTGTAATTCTTGGAAAAATAACAAAACCACGTGGTAAATATGGTGGCCTTATGCCTCTGTCCTTTAAAAGGCCCTACAGCACTTGTCTTGTGGCCACTTGCTGGGAACTAAGGTGGATCTGACCAGAGTCCATTTTTCTTGTCAGTACTTAAAGCTTGCTTCAAATTTGGCTCAAAATCATTGACCTGTTTTTTTCTCATGCAAATCTCAGTATTAATAGCAACACTGAGCTATATGAAGCCATGGGGCAGTGGAAGCCCCATCACATCATTGAAGACCTCTGTTCAAATATATTTATGTTTGCAGGATTGTATGATACAGCCTGCAATTTTGTGTGATACTTTGTTTCTGTTCTGACAGATAAAGCTTGCTTTGAGATCAGAGCTTGTAGCTAGCCACTAGCTAACCACAGAAGTAGTGGCCCATGCCTTTAATCCCAGCACTCTGGAGGTGGAGACAGGAAGTGACAACGTGCTCTGGAGAAGGTGGAGTCAGGATCCTCAAACCATAAAGGCCTGAGGTCCTTTTCTTCCTTTATTTATTTATTTATTTATTTATTATTTATTTATTTATTTATGTCAAAGGTTCTGGAGAGGTATGTGGTCATTGGTGGTTGTTCCGCAGTATTCTGATCTTCCAGGTTCAGATTCCAATATTTGACTCGCGATTTTTTATTAATTATGATTAATTAGATTAATGCCTCACTGCACTTTTCATTTTTCATTGTGGGATAATTCCATGTCAGCATATTCACATGTATCACATTCTTTCAGACATTATTTATTTGGGGGAGTCATTTCAAATGACTATGTATGTACTGGCACAGAACTCCTGTAGAGGTCAGAAGAAAACTTACAGGAGTCAGTTTTCTCCACCATGTGAGCCTTGGGGATCAAGCTCAGGTCATCAGGCTTGGTGGTAAGTGTCTCCTTGCAGAGCCATTTCACCAACCCTGTCTCATTTCTTTTTAATTATGCCATCATATGGATGTTCCATAGTTACATTTTACAATTATTACATTTGTATGTGTGCATTTATTTATCAGGTAAGCTAGATCCCTGGCCTACTCCCCTTTTTTGAGACTAGTCTTGCTTTAAAAACCTGTACCAGGCAGCAGAAATGACACTGGTTTCCTGGTTCGTCCCCAATCAGCCAGGGAGCATCAGTTTTTACTCTTTCCACCCCAAAGGGCCTGCTATGGGTAGAGCTGAGTGAAGTACTCAGCTGTTTCTCTATTGGCCCCAGCTGAGGTGCCACCCAGGTGACTGACAACATTCTGGCAACACCACTGTAGCAGAAAGCTGTTCTGCTTGGGCCTTCCCTCCATGCACTAATTTTCTGGCACGATCCCGAGAGGGTTTGGCTCCACACCCTTTCCCTCTTCAATGACACCTGCTCTTGGTCCTTTTGTTTCAGGGCTGTCCTGGAGCCTATCCACACAGGCCTTTACCAGGATGTCTACTGGGCTATTTCCTCAACAACTTTAGGTCTGAACTCAATGTCACTGTCTTTTTTTTTTTTTTTTTTTTTTGAGAGGGTTTCTCTGTATTGTTTTGGAGGCTGTCCTGGAACTCACTCTGTAGACTAGGCTGGCCTCTAACCCACAGAGATCCACCTGCCTCTGCTTCCTGAGTGCTGGAGATTAAAGGCATGAGCCACCAACACCCGCCCAACTCAATGTCACTGTCTTAAGAGACCTTCCTCCTTGCTGAATTTGCTGCCCTTCTGTTCCCTGACCACACTCCCTTCTGTTACTTTTCTCTTTAGTATTTACTAACAGCTAACCAAACATGTATATTGAACCCGGGACTTCATGCATTCTGCTCTCTGTAGCCTCTTCTCTTCTCTTCTCTTCTCTTCTCTTCTCTTCTCTTCTCTTCTCTTCTCTTCTCTTTTCTCCCCTCCCCTTTCCCACCATCTTCTTCTCTCCCCTCCCCTCCCCTCTCCTCTCTTCTCCTGTCTTTTCTTCCTTCTTTCCTCCCTCCCTTCTTCTTTCTTCCTTCTTTTCTTCCTCCCCCTTCCTCCCCCTTCTCCTCCTTCAGATTGTGTTAGGTAGGTTGGCCTTAAATTTCTGAGCTCAAGTGATCCTCCTGCCTCAACCTTGAGAGTAGCAAGGACTACAGGAACACTCTACCACACTGGCTTGGCCATGAAATAAATTTGTTTAATTATGACAGAATCTCAAAATGTGACCTAAGGTAGCCTTGATCTCACTACTGAGCCTCCCTCCCAAGGGACTACAGATTTTTTGTCACTGTGGTTGCCTTGAGGGACTTTTGTCTTTCTTCTTTATCTGTACTATCTCCAGGGCCTACAGCACAGTAGGCATTTTGATAAATTATCTGAAGAATGTATGAATGGAATGTTGCCTTGCCACTCAAGAACCCCCTGGCCACAGCACCTTAAACATCACTCTGTTATTTCCCTTTCCTAGGTTTGTTTTTCTCCAGGACACTTATCACTACTTGACACATATTTGTTTACTTTCGTTCTCCATTGTAGACAGAAAGTTGCTTTAACAGTAAAGGGTTAAATCCATTTTAATCCCTAGGAAGTGGGGGTAGGGGAAAAAGGAAACATTTAAGTATTTATAAATCAATGAACAACTGTGTAAGAGAAAAATAGATATACCAGACCACATTAAAAATAGCAACATTGGTTGGGCAGTAGTGTTGCATGCCTTTAATCCCAGAACTGGGGGAGGCAGAAGCAGGCAGATCTCTATTGAGACCAGCCTGGTCTACAAGAGCTAGTTCCAGGACAGCCTCCAAAGCCACAGAGAAAGCCTGCCTCGAAAAACAAAAAAGCAACATCTTGGTTATTTATTTTTACTGTGCTAGGGATTGGATCCATGGTCTAGTGTGTACTAGTCTAACAACCTACCACTGAATTGTATCCCAAACTCAACGTTTGATTTTAAATTGTATAATTGAGAGAGTAAAAATTCACTGGGTGGTGGTTGCACAAGCCTTTAATTCCAGGAGGCAGAGGCAAGTGGATCCCTGAGTTTCAGGTCAGCCTGGTCTATAGAGTGACTTTCAGGACAGCGGGGAGGGGGGGAGGGAGAGAGGTAAAACCAAGATACTCCCTAAGTGAGTAAAAGTGCTTGCTCCCAAATGTGTCTACCTGATTTTATTCCCCTGGCACTCACATGATAGGAAAGAATCAACTTTTACAAGCCCTACTCCCACGTGGACTGCACCCCTCCTTACTCGCCCCACATGCATACACACAAAGACAAATAAATGTATTTTTTGTTCTTTCAAAACAGGGTTTCACTATGTAATCCTGTCTGTCCTGGAACTCACTAAATATATCAGGCTGCCCTTGACCTCACCAGAGATCCTCCTGCCTTTGCCTCCCAGATTCTGGGGTTAAAAGTGTGCCAGGTCTTTCCCCCTTTGTTTTATTTATTTATTTAATTAATGAACAAATGAACCAGTGTAGCAGCCAGGTTTCCATACACCTAAGAGTGCCCTCGGGATAAGACAAAGTTTTGGGCAAGCGCAACAGGTGCCTCTTAAACTGTAGCTTCTTGTTCCTGTGGGCCCCACCTGGCGTTGCCGGCTTAAATTCACTCTCTGGAGGCTGATTTCCGGGGCGGCGCCATCGCCCCTTTAAGAGCCTAGCACCCCGTCCTTCGGGGCGGGGCTTGGGTAGGGCTATAAGGGGCGTGCCCGCAGGCGGCCGGGGTCCTCCGGGGGATTAGCGCAGGGTGGGCTCGCCCCTTGCGCCGCCATTTCTCTGCGTCTTCAGAGACCCGTCCTCCCCTCAGGTCGGCCGGGCGTCTCTCCCCAAGGGTCGTGAGCGCCTGTCGCCGTGCTCTCGGTCGCTACACGGTCTTCACCCCCGAATAAAAGGTAAGAGTGTGGCCCCGAGTGTCCAGTTCGCTCTGCTCACGGTGCGTAACCTCTCGGCCGCGCGCGCCGGGTGGGCGGCCCGGCTCCCCGGGCGGCGCCGCGAGCTGGGAGGGGAGTGGCGGCGGCGGCCAATGGGGCTGGGCGCTGAGTTTCGGGCGATACCGAGCGGTGGCCGCCGAGGACCGGGCGCCTAGCTGGGGTCTCGGGCGTCGTGGGAGCAACTCTGGTCAGCCCTGACCTCCGTGTAGCGGTGGGGTTAGGGGGAGGTCTAGAGTGTCAACTCGTCAGGGTCGCGAGTGGACGCACACCCGACGGGCCGTGCAAAGCTCGCTCGTGACCCAGTGAAACTTGGGAATCAATCGTGTGAGGCAGGTGCGTTCCCAGGAACCGCCAAGGCCGAGGGCGCTTCCCGCCCCCACGCGTGGCGCTCGTCGGGTAATGACGGGTCCTCCCGTGGGTAGAAGATAATTGTGTCTGTCCCTGTGGTTACTGCAGTCTCCTGGGTTCTGCTTTAAGAGCGAGGAGACCCCAGATTCCGAAGTTGTTTGGCAATAGTTTGAAGTTACTAGTAGTGGGTTGGGGTGGTTTTTTGTTTTTTAATTAAAGATAAGCCCACCTATAAATTCTTAACGTAATTCACAACTACGCTAGCCCCTACTGCAGCATAAACTAGGGCTACACCACTTACTGTAGTGGGTTACTTACTTGTGTCTGCGTGATCGTTTTAGTATCTTTCTTATCCCTCCCCCCCCACACCCTTTCCTTAGTTCTTTAGGTACTGGAAACCTAACCCTTGTCCAGGAGCTCGCTATGCTGTGCTAAATCCTCAAACATGTTTTTTGTTTTGCTAGGATAACATGTTTGGGAAACGATGTGCGTAATTTTCCTGCTTTTAGTTTCTCAATTGCATTTTCTTTTGCTGGAGATAACTGGGATGATAAATACTGATAACGTAAGGGCATTTTCTGTGTGTTGACAATATTACTGTTAAAAGTCAGTGGCTCCGTGTCTACTTGGATGTCCAGGGTTCAGTCCCCAACACTGCACAAAGAACCAAATGGAGGAGGTGCAGTTGGCCTTCAGTAATATATGCATATACACATTTCATGACAAACTTGGGGTGGGGGTAAAGTAGGAAATTGATTACTTCAGTTTTCATTTCTTTGATGAAAAGGAAACTTGCTTACTAGAAACCATGCAACTCCAGACCCCATATCTTCAGTTTGTTCTTTTTAGAGAAGGTGTCTCCCTATGCAGCCCAAGCTAACTTGGAATTTGCTGTATATACAGCCCAGATTGGATTGGAACCGAGAATTCTGCCTCTGCCTTTCACGGGCTGGCGATATTTTTTATTAGCCTCTTTTAGGATTTGCTTCTTCAAATAGTACCATTTTCTAATGTATCATTTCATTCTAACATGTTAGTTTTTTAATGATTGTCTAATATGTATCATAGCAAGCACTTTGGTCATCCATTACAGTAAACAAGTCATGCTAGGTCCCTGTTGTCCTTTTGCAGGGAGGGAAGCTAGCAAGTAAAATAAATAAATAAATAAATAAAAAGTCAATGGAATATTATATTACAGTTTCTTTCGGTGTTATTTAGAAAAGCCCGTGTACTAACGGGGTCATCTAATCTATCCTCAGGATCTGAGAGTGCTTTTCTAAGGAAAAAGCTTTTCAGGTGTAAATATAGAGTTAACTATATTAAAGAGGGAGAAGAATGGAAGAGTGAGCAAGGATTATCCCCGAAAGATGGAACCACTGATGAAGAAAGTTCTGGAATTAGACACTTGAGCTGAGCAAAGCACTGGAGCAGAGACAGCAAACAGCCAGATAGGGCACTGAGAAGTCCAGGAGGAGGAGCCAGAGCTGTTAAAGATTTAAAAAGGAATCAGATTTGTGCTGGCTGATAATCCACTGATACACTGACTGTGTGAGAACAGGATTGAGGGCAGGTGGGATGAAGGAACAGAAATATGGGGACACTTCTTTTTCCTAACCATCAATTTTTTTTAGCTATTTAAAAACTTAAAGCCACACATACTTTTATGACATCTGGATTAACTCTCTCCTGGGCTTTGCTTGTGCAGCACTAGACATGTCAGGTGCATCCCACTTCTAACTTTGCTTTTACTTGTTTGTTTGTTTTATTCGAGACATAGTCTCAGGTTGCCCAGGTTGGCCTAGAACTTGCTATGTAGTTAGTGATGATTGTGATCCTCCAGCTTCCACCTCCCAAATGCTGGGATTAAGGATGTGTGTGCTTCTATCTGTTTAGATCTTCTTGGCTGCTGTTGAACTCTTTTAATCATGTGTTTGATTGGGGGGGCATACTTGCATACCTGCAGAGTTAGATCTCTCCTTCTACCTTTATGTGGATTCTGGGGATCAAATTCAGATGTCAGGCTTTGCCTTAAGGACTGTTACTCACTGAGCCATCTTACCAGCCCTCGTATCTTTTTTATTTATTTGTTTTGCTTTTTTGATACAGGACCTTCATTCATATGTAGCTCAAGATAGCCTGGAAGTGGCATGTATATGGACCAGGTTAGCCTAGAACTCAGAACTCCCCTGTTTTAGCTTTTCAAGTGCTAAGAATTGTTTATGAGGCTTCCTTATATTATTCTCATGTGGGATGTCCTTTTTCATGACACCCATTTTCTTCTATTGCGTTGTTTATCTAGTTAATTTGTTTTTACTTTCTGGGCATCTAACTTAGGGCCTTGTGTGTATGGTAGGCAAGCACTCTTATCACCAAACTGTATCTCTGTAGAGATGATTTGTATAACTCTGTTAAACTACATAGTAATCCTTCAAAATACCTTTATTATTTTATTTCCTCCTAGTAATTTTTCATTTTTTGCTTGAAATGTATATGTTATTTAATGTTGTCATGTTTCTATGAAAAGAACTTGCTATTCTTCACAGTATTGGGTTTTATTGTTCAAAATAAGAGAAATCTAAAAGAAAGATGTTTTTCTTTATTAGATAATTACAGTAGTAGTTCTTTTTCAAAATGTCAGGATAAGGTGAAGGAAACGTAGTTTTATAGTTTCTTAGGAAATAAATTTATAAAGCATTTTGAATATTTTTCTTTAAAAGACATTATAAAAAATTTAAGATACGTAAATATCAAAAGAAGGATTATGCTCTCAAGTTGCTCACAGTGAAGAGTAAAAGCATAATTATCTGATTATAATAAAAGGTTCTGTGGAAGTGTGATTATAATGACTAACATAGCCATCAGGATGTTTTTCTGTGGGTATGATGGAGCTGGGTTAAAAGGAAGAAGTAGGGCTCAGTAAAAATAGAGCTTTAAAAATGTGGAGTCCACAGGGAAAGAAGACTGGACACCTATTTAAAAACCAACTGGAGAGACCACAAAGCTAGTGGATATGGGACCTGTAGGCTGGTCGGCTATTCCAAATTGAAGTTCTTTCCTTGGGTTCAAATCTGAAATACATGTAAAACACTATTATGAAATGTATTTGGTAATGTTTAGTTCATGGGTATTTAAATTTTAACATAGTAATATGATCTTAAAGTTACCCTTTTAGAAAGCAGATTAATAGCCATATCTGATTGAAATAGCCATTTAATATGGAGGTTTTAAAAAAGTAGGTCTGCCTGGAATTCGGCTGCCTCCTCTCGCAGGCTTCCTCACTCTTTCCACTGGTGAACTGAGAACACTCTCTCCAAACCTTACCCTCTGCCTCAAGCAGTACCTCCTCTGGTGGTAGTTATTGTAGAGCTATGGCAGTGTCCTGACAACTTAAGCTGTTTAATGTGGAGTCCTATTGTTTACACTGTGGCTGTTTTTCCTTTTCTACACCTTTTTCCTGGAATTAGTAATTGTCTTTATGTGTACATAGTTAATGTTTACTTTTCTCGGAGTTTCTTAGTTGTAAAACTGAGACACTAGGTTTACGAAGCAACTGTATGGCATTTTCATTGTATGTGTTTCCATACCTGTATTTGGTGTTTCCAGTTATAATGTACAATACTTTAAATAACTAGTATCTATTTTAACTATGTCTTTAACTTTAATGTTGTTAGTAGAAAATTAAGCAATAGAATATTTGATAGAACTTAGGAGGTTGAATTTATTTGTACTTTGCTAAAATGGATAATTACTTGTGTTTTGAATGCTCAGTTAAAAAAAAAACACTCAAAAGTCTGCCTCAGTGGTGTCTGGCACTGTTGTGTAATGTCTGTAGGGATAGTCATCTGCCTTAGGTACCACTTACTGATCCAAAACACTTGTTGAATGTCATGAATGATTGCTTTCTCCTGCTAGATTAGCTCCTCATAAGATAACAGTAAGTTTAAAAAGCTTCAAGCATTGCATTATTTTAATGTTTTAAACTTTATGTTAAAATCTAGCTTTAAAAATTATTTTGAAATAAAAATTGAATGTATTGTATACAACATGCTTTGAAATATGTATAAAAGGTGATGTGTTTCAACTTTTTCCAGTTAACATCCAGAGGACTTCACTAAATACCACCATTAATTTTACTACAAGTTGTTGGGAGTGTCTTTCCTTGCTATCACTTTCACCTCTGGCTTTGTAGTGGCAGAGATGCTGAGCTTCCTGAGAAGAACACTTGGCCGCCGGTCTATGCGCAAACATGCTGAGAAGGAGCGACTCCGAGAGGCACAACGTGCTGCCACACACATTCCTGCAGCTGGGGATGCCAAATCCATCATCACATGCAGGGTGTCCCTTCTGGATGGTACAGATGTTAGTGTGGACTTGCCGGTGAGTAGGCCTCTCTTAGTTGTGTGTGAGATCACTATTGTCTATGCTTCCTTGGGGTAGGTGAGATAGGGTGAGTATGGATCAGGCTCTGAAATATTCAGTTACGAGGACTAGAACCTGTAGGCCAGGAGGACCTGCAATTAGTGGCAGTTGCAAGAAACATTGAATGATGGGCAGTTATTGATGTGAATTAACTCTGTGTGAGTCTGTGCATGTGCACACACTTGTGCTTTTATAGACATGGTCTTGTGTAGCTCAGGTTGGCCTTGTACTTGTGATCATCTTGCCTTAGCCACTAAGTATGAGAGTACAGGTGTGTACCATGTCAGGCTTAATTTCAAAACTACTTACAGATACCAAATCTCTTATGTCTTTGTTCTGTTTCAGAGACTTCACAAAACTATGTTATGTGATTTTTTTTTGACATAAGCTTCATTGAATGTTTCTTGATGTCTGCTGTCCCTATGTACTTTTTACTAAAATTCAGTTTGAAAAGTCTGTTTAGAAAACTGATGGCTCAGTATGGCTAAGATATGTAGTTGAATAAATTCTAAAAGGCCTTAAATTCAGAAGGTTTAGCTGAAGAATTGAATAGTTTGTTCAGGTTCAGGCTTTCTTGGTTTTCCTTCGTTTGTTTTATTATTTTTTTTTTGAGACAAGGTTTCAGTATGCATCCCAGGCTTTCATGAAACTCATGGTCCTCCTGCCTCAACCTCCTGAGTACTGGATCACAGCTGTGCTCATCATACTTAGCTCTCTTGAAATGTTTGCAAATTCTCATTGTGTGTTTGTTATCTAAGTGTACTGCACATTTTTTAGAGTTTTTATTCCATGCACTTTAAGGTGTCTAAATTTTCTTCCTGTAAGGACTTGTTGAGGGGCTTGAGCTATTCCAATATGAGATAACTTAGTAAGAATAGTTTTAATATTTATTTTTTATTTGATAAGAATCTTGAGAATTTTGCGAGTCCATTTACTGTTAAATATGTAGTGAAAAGCATGAGATTGCGGTGTGAGAGCCCGGGGAAAAATTTATTACCTAATGCTTGAAGTATGAAGTCTTAGGGTTGTTGATTGGTAGGCTAATACTAAGAATTTTTAGAGAAGCCTTTTTAAAGGGCAGTGTGGTATAGAGGAGAAAGGGTATTATCTTTAAAAGAAGTAGACCAAGTGTTTAGTGACCCACCAAAATGGTGATACATTGATTGGGTCTAGACATGTTAGGGGACAACTGCAGTGACACAGCCACAGTTTTAGATTTGTTTCTTTTGAAACAAAAAACATGGCCTTTAAAAAATTTTTAGATTCAATTTTTAAAAATCTTTTATTTTTTATGTGTACTTGTGTGACTGTGTGCACATGAGTGTACCACTCATCAAGGCCGGAAGAGGGCATTATATCCTCTGTAGCTGGAGTTACAGGTAGTTATGACATGCACATTGTGGGTGCTAGGAACTGAACTCAGGCCTCTAGAAGAACAGCAAGCACTCTTAACTCCTAAGCCGACTCTCCAGCACCAGATTTATTTATTTCCATGTGTGAGTGTTTTGCCTACATTTGTGGTCAGTTGAGTCTTGATAAGGGCACCAAGAGTATTCAACTCTCCTCAACAAATGGTGATAATGTACATGCAAAAGAATAAAGTTTAAGTCTTTCCTCATACTAGGTAAAAATTAAGATAGCTCAAAAACATAAATATAAGAACTAAAACTATAAATCTTTAGAAGAAAATGTAGGATATTTATTTTCTTAGATAATGGCATCAATATAATGAATAACAAAAAAGAAAACTCAGGCAAATTGGACTTAATCAAATTTAAAAATGTGTGCCCTTCAAAAGGTACCACTTAGAAAGATAAAAGACTGGGGCTGGAGAGATGGCTCAGAGGTTAAAAGCACTGGTTGCTCTTCCAGAGGTCCTGAGTTCAATTCCCAGCAACCACATGGTGGCTCATAACCATCCGCAATGAGATCCAATGTCCTCTTCTGGCATGCAGACAAACATGCAGGCAGAACACTGTATACATGATAAGTAAACAAATAAATCTTAAAAAAGATAAAACTATACAACATAATAACAAAGTGTTTCATATTATATATCTGACAAAGAACTTGTATCTAGACTATGTAAAGAACCGTTACAACTCAATAAAAAGATAACCCAATTTAAAAATAAGCAAAATATCTAAGACTTTTTGTTTGTTGAGACAGGGTTTCTCTTTGTAGCCCTTGCTATTCTAGAACTTGCTCTGTAGTCCAGACTGGTCTCAAACTCAAGATTTACCTGCCTCTGCCTCCTGAGTACTGGGATTAAATGCATCACTACCACCTAGCTAAGTAGACATTGTTTAGTTAGGAAATATAAAATACATGAGAAGTCAGAGTTGGGTGGGTTATAGTTTAGTGGCCAAGTGTATGCTTGTATGTGTGAGGCCCAGGCTTTAAGCCCCAGCACCAAAAAACACAATAAAATACTACTTCGCACTCAAATACGAGGGCTCAAAAGTCCGATAATAGCAAGTGCTGGAGAACCTGGAGAAATCAGAATCTGTTAACATTGAGATTGGGAAATGTAAAACAGCTGCTTTGGAAAACAATCCGATAGGTATTCAAATGATAGGACATTGTTACCTTGTGACAAGTTGTTTCAAGATCTATCCAAGAGAATTAAAAACATGCTTACACAGAAATGTGTAGATGTTCACAGTAGCATTACTTATAATAGGCAAAAGGTGGGAACGACTGAGAGGACATCAGGATGTATAGGTAACATCAAGTTGCTGTCCATAAAAGAAATAACTGGTAAAAATACTATGCTAGTCAAAGAAACCAGTCACAAAGAACCACACATTTTGATTCTGTTTTATGGAAGTCTAGTTTTATGGAGAGCTGTAGAAGTGAAAAGGTAAGCCGGGCGTTGGTGGCTCATGCCTTTAAGCCCTGTACTCAGGAGGCAGAGGCAAGCGGATCTCTGTGAGTTCGAGGCCAGCCTGGACTACAGAGCGAATTCCAGGACAGCCTCCAAAACAATACAGAGAAACCCTGTCTCGAAAAACCAAAAAAAAAAAAAAAACAAAGAAAAGGTAGGTTAGTGGTTGCTTGGGAACTAGTAGAGGAGGTAGAAATTAATAGCCATAGGATAAGGAATATCTTTTAGAGGTAATGAAAATATTCTGAAATCAACTCTGATGGTTATACACACCTGTTGTGTATTCTAAAATCCATTGAATTACATATTTGTGTTGTTTTTGAGACAGTATCTCACAATGTAGAAGTAGCTGGCCTGAAACTCACTATATAGGCCAGCCTAGCCTCAAACTCACAGACATTGTCTGTGTCTGCCTCTCAAATGCTGAGAGTAAAGACCTGTACCCCCACACTTAGCCTAAATTGCATACTTTTAATGGGTGAATGGGATATGAGTTACATTTCAATTAAGCTTTTTTGTTTTTAACCCCCACCCCACAGAAAATAGAGTGTGTGTGTGTGTGTGTGTGTGTGTGTGTGTCTGTTTTACTGCATATAGGTTTTGAGTTATTTTGTTAATTGTAATTATGATGATAATCTTGATTTGGAACGGGGGGGGGGACTAGAAAGCACTAAAGCAATGTAGGTACAAGGGTATGTGAGATTGCAAAAAAAGGAAATGTTTAGCACATGAATGTGGTGAGGTGAAGGAACAAGGATAAGTAATGAGCACACTGTTAGACTGGGCCATATTCATGGTGTGGAAAATTATGAAAGTATAGTCAATTGTTACAGAGAGGGAAAATAATGGAAGTGCAGAAAAGCACATGGAAGGCAAGTGTGTTTGGTAGCCAGGTTTTAGAAAATAAAAGGAAGTCCCAGTGGTAGTTAAGTTGTTTTGAATTTTTTATAGTCCCTTGAACATAGTGGCTGCTCTTAACATATTAATTATTTGAGCAATTGAAAGTTTCTGCACCATGATAAGTCTCTCCACTGGCTCAGCAATCAAAAACAAACCAAATCAAACAAATTAGAAAAAGTGAGAGACTTTGAAGCCCTTAGTCCTAAATGAAATGTCTTTGCCAGACCCCTCACCCTCAAGGTTCAGGTATCTATGCAGGAAAGAGGTAGTGAATGACTCCAAACAGTATCTTGAAGACACAGCAGGATACACATATTAAGAACTCACAGAGACTGGCAGCATGCATAAAACCTGCACTAGTTCAAGCCAGGCAGGGTCCCAGCACTGAGAGGCAGAAGTAGTCATGAGGCTCCACCCCCAACCAAAAAGCTATTTGCAATTGCAGACAGCTTACAAAGAGCAAATTTGTTTTTCATGGATTATCGTTGATCATATTAACTATATTCCAGGAGAGATCTCCTGTCCAGGAGTAGTGGGCCAACACAAACTACATTGTTTTGTTTGTTTTGTTTTTGTTTTGTTTTTCATTTTGGCATATTTTCTCACAAGTGTTTTTGTTTTGCTTTATTTTGTACTGTTTTTTGTTGTTTGAGACAAAAAATAAACAAAATTGGGTGTTCAAAGTATAGTGTGTGAAAGTTAAAAAAATTTAAAAATTTAATTAAGAGATCTAAAAGAAAAGAAAGCACTACAGACCTGCCTAGAGAAGGCATCTTCTCTTCTCAGATATGTCTAGGTTTGTGTCGAGGGACAACATCCAGCAACCAGCACAAATGCATTGGTTTCTGAGTAGCCAGAACAAAGAGTTGATGAGATTCAAACAAGACAGTGTAAGACAAAGGAGTATGTTCTCTGTGGTCCGAGGTGTGACATACTTGCCGAACATAGACAGCACTCTCTGACAGAGACACAGTCGTAAGAGGAAGCAAGGTGTCCTTAGGAAGATTTTTTTTTATTCTAGTTTGTACTTCAATGTGTAAATAATGACTAATAGGGGGGTTTGAAGAACAGGATGATGATTCTATTTAATAGTTCTATGTCCCATGAGTAGCTGTGTCACTTGGTCTTCTGACTCTTGCTTGTCTCTAGTCATCAAAGACAAAGACTGTCATGATCTCCCTTTTTTCTGTATTTTGTTTTACCATAGGCTGACAGAGCTGTGGTTTCTTTCTTTTAGGCTCAGTTTGAAACATAAACCCCTAAGGCTATTGGTACTTTGAGGCAGAACTAACAAGTTGCAGGCCTTTTGTAGCTCATTTGTTAGGTTTAAACTGGGGTTCTTGGCAAAGACAATTGAGATTACTCTGACATTATTATGAACCAATTTTTTTCTTGCAGGCTATATTATGAATGAAAGTTTTTTTTTAGAATATCCATGCTATTCTAGCAGCCAGATCATTTAAAGAAGTTCCCTTTTAGATCGTGCTGTGGTGACACCTTTAATCCCAGCTCTCAGGAGAGGCACATGAATCTCCATGAGTTTTGAGGCCAGCCTGGTCTACAGAGTGAGTTCCAGGATAGCCAAGGTGGTTACACACAGAAACCCTGTTTCAAGAAACTTACAGAGAGAAAGACAGAGACAGAGACAGAGGGTTTTTTTTTTAGATTGGGCATCATTAACTTGAGGAATTTGAAAATGCTGTGTGTTCACTGTTGTTCTTATTAAAGAAGGTCAAATACACGACTTTGAAAGGCTGTTGCTCTGTCCATCTGCAGTACCCATTCTCTCCCCTAGAACACAGGTACCATATTTCAGAAGGCTGGAAATGATGCTTGGACAGAAGGAGGTGGAACGCCATTTTAAATGGCATATTCTTTTGTTTTTGAAACAAATACAGAATGTTGATGGAATGTGAAATTAAATATAGAAGTGTACCTTATAATTAATGTAATACAAGTTGGGCACTTTGGCACATTGGGAGGTAGGGAGGAGTTCAAAATATTTTATGTTCTGTTTTTGATGATGGCACTTAGCAAAATGAGCATAATTGTTACTTGTTAAATTTGTTAACACTAGGGCCAGAGAGATGGCTCATGGGTTAAGAGTGTGTAATGCCGGCATGCGTGCACTGTATATTTAATAAATAAATCTTTAAAAATAAAAATAAAAGAGTGTGTACTGATGCTGTAGAGGACCTGAGTTTGATTCATACCACCCACAGCAGAGAGCTGTCAACAGCCTGTAACTCCAGCACCAGAGAGGTCCAGTTTCTCCACACACACCTGTGCTTACATGCACATACATACCCACTGTACCCCACACACAATTTAAAAATATATCTTAAAACTTTTTATAGTTTAAAACTATTATTTTTTCATGTCCAGTAAACTTCCATTCCCTTCCTTCCCACCACCTTCATCTGTTTGTAGACTGTATTCAGATGGACAGCTTGGTTTTTTACTTGCCTGTGTAGTTTAGGTTTTTGTGACCTAAGAATTCGACACTTCCTTTTCTTGCTCATTCTGCTTTTTAGCCTTGCTGTATTTCTTCTTGATCTGCTTAAACCACTTTCTCCCACTGTTAAGTAAGGACTTTGCATTTCTGTAGATAATTGTGTGCTTTACTCATATTTCATTGAAATTTTCCTTGCTTAAAAGCCTTCCTATTTGAATACTGTCTCCCATTCTTGATCTTGTTCCAAACCCTTTAACGTACTCAAGCTATTTTCTTGTTAAACTATAAGGCTCTGGAAGATAAGTGCCTTTTGTTTTCCTTTGTAGTTGGCTAGGGCAGCCCAAAGAATATTGTAAATGCTCTATTAATATTTATTAAGTAAACCAAGGAAATTAGGAACAATATTTGAAATGGATCTTTAACATAGAATAGATTCATCCCTAGGTGAAGCTAAAATCATTCTCAAACCCAAATATTTTAATAAGACTTTTGGCTCTTTTTGGACAAGAAAGAAATTGCTGATTTACTGCCTTAAGACTATCCCATGAAACCTAGGAGGTAAGTGGGAAAATTGGCAGGAGTTCTGGTTCATACCCACATCCCCCCTACAACCACTCTATGTCACTCTCCCCTACCTCTTCTCCTCCTCTGTCCCCTCCTTCCCTCCCTCCCATCCTGGAATGGATATGGGGTTATCCTGCTGAAGACTGGAGTGTCTGTGGAAAGAAAGATAATTGAGGGAAAAGATTTTGCATACAGGTCTTGTCCCCCCCCTCTCCCTTTGTGGTCTTAATCATTAATGTGTGCCCTCTGAGTGGTGTTGTAGCAGTGATTCTGCTATTTTGTGTAATTGTCTGTAAGAATAAACCCTAGTGCTGCTACCTGAAATGTTCTCTGTTAGTTCCAAAAGAAACTTGGGACAAATGGCTATCTGTCGTGCCTATTAGCATACCAAAAGGCATGCTGGCCTCTGGGGTCCCTCTGTATCACAAGTACCTGTTAAGAGTCCATCCTGGCTCTTCTCACCCCATCCCCTACCCTAAATTTCTTCAGCTATGGATGTTTTTTCGTCTCCTTTCCCTGCACTCTTTGTCTTCATCCCCTCCCCCCCACCTCTCTCATGGTCAAGTCCAGTGTGTTGGCCTTGTTCAGTCCACTACTTTCTCTGTTCTATATTGTCCAGATGCCTCTCTCTGATTGGACTCTCCCTTACATATTCCACTTAGCCCCATACCCTGGAGCAGTCTTGTCATCAGTTTATATATTTATTCTCTGCCTCTAAAATTCCTACTCCTAGAATCCCCTTACCTGGATAAGTTTCCTTCCCTACTGAACTGTAGTGAGTTATAGTTAAAGGGATATCTCCTCTAGGAGTGAGAGTGCATTGCCGACCTTAGGAATTAAAGTGAAGCCATTGACTGGTTTTGTGGTTCTTGGGGCTGTCTTCTCTAGGGTCCTCCCCAGCCCCCATCAGAGCTAAATTGGAGCATTCATAGACTTTAGGGCTAGATTGGTTTTTTCCTTGTATTTAATCTGGAGAGGGTAAGTTACATTCCTAAAGTTCAGAGACAAATACACAGAAGTCCAAGACAATAAAAACATTACAGAGAATACTTAGGCAAACGCAGATGAAATAGAAAAGTCCTAATAAGTTTTCTAAAAAATCTGAGAAGTTAACAATATGAACTAAAGCTTGTTTGAAAAGGGTCCAATGGACTATCAGGTGGGGAAAGTATAAGAAATGTTGTTTAAATAAATAATACAGTTGATGAAGTTGTGATCAACTAACATAAAACAGAAATTGGTATGGGGCATGGTGGCATGCACCTTTAATCTCAGCACTCCAGAGGCAGAGCCAGGCTGATCTCTGAGTTCTTGTGGTCTAAGAGTGAGTTCCTGGACAGTCAAGACTTCCTGTCTCAATTTGGGAATTTCTCCATTGGAGTTTTTGAAAAGAAGCATTAAAGATTAAAAACTTAAGTGGAAGACTAAAAGAAATACCTTTTTCTCCCGAAGATCAGAAATACACAGTGACCCTGCTTAAGCTACTTACTGATCATCTTCTTGCTATTTCAGAAAAAAGCCAAAGGACAAGAACTGTTTGACCAAATTATGTATCACCTGGACTTGATTGAAAGTGACTATTTTGGTCTGAGATTCATGGATTCAGCCCAAGTAGCTGTGAGTATCTTTTAGAGGTTCTATTATGACAAACAAAATGTCAATTTTCAGATCATGGCTTAGGTACTTGAAGGCTAAATATACTTTATGCATTCTTGTGTCATTTCCTGTGGCCTGAAACATGTACTCCTTGTCTTAGTTCATCTGTTGTTGGTTAAGATGTGGTCTTGTTCTGCAGCCTGGACTGGCTTAGAACTGGCAATCTTATCTTGCCTAAGCCTTGCAAGTGCTAAGACTATAGTCAAGTACCACCATACCTGACTGCTCCTTGCCTTACAGACACCTGGAATTCTTTTTTTAAAAAAAAGATCTGGTCCTAACCTGAATTACTAGAGCAACATTTTTGAAGATGGAGTTTAGAAATCTGTGTTTTTAACAAATACTGTCTAGAGTGTTATGAACCACTGTGTAACAGAAAGAATGCTAACACTAGACTTTTATATGCCCTTAGGTAAATGGTATTAATTTATAAAGTAAATAGACTAGCATATCTCTAAGGTTCCTTTCAGAACTATGATTCTGTGCCCATAAAAACTACTTTGTGCATTTCAGGTGAGAGAACAGAGTATGTAACAGAGGAGAAAGTTGGAAGCTATTCATAGAACTGAGTATTACATTGAGATTTCACTGAGGTGTTTGGAAAAAGTAGACAGTAGGGTTGGGGTGGATCGGTGGTTATCCTCCAAACTAAGTATCAAAATTGTTAAGTGATAATTGTAATTCTTACTCTTTAGTAATTGAAATTGGATCCTTTGCAAGCAGATTAGTTTTTGTTTCAGAAAATTTGTTTTGTTTTGTTTGTTTGGGTCACATGGCAAGTGCCTTTGCCCTCTCACAGCTTTTTATTTCCATTTCTTACTATACTTAAATTATTACTTGGTTTTAGTCTTAGCCCTTGGCTGATATCTACAGTTACTGAAACTACTGTATATATATATACTTTGCCTTCTGGTCATACAAACTTTTAGTAAAGCTGGAATTTGAATTTTTTTCTTTTTTTCTTTTAATATGTGGGTGTGTGTCTGCCACATTTGTTCAGGCCAGAAGAGAACATATGGGTGTTGAAAACCAAACTCTGGTCCTCTGTGAGAGTAGCAAGCAGATCCAAATGATAAACCCTATAACTTTTAGTTTTTGTTCATTTTCTAGTTTATTCCTCCTATGAAGAATCCAGCTAGGTTTGGGGATTAAGTTTATATTCTTCATCTTTGCTGTAGTAAATACAATAGTGAGTTGAACTAGGATAATCGTTGGTATTACAAGTAAATTCTAGATAACACTTTAAAACTTAAATTTTAACTCATTTGATTTTATGGCATAATAAATATAGCAACCCCTTTCAGTTATTTTTTAGTGGTCACATTCAGTTCCAGAATTAAATAAATTGATATTTAATAAATAGTATGTTTTATATGAATATAATAATCTTGATAGATTAAATAAATGTGTTTTAGCTAAAGCATACAGTATAAACTGAGTTACCCAATATTTCCTTATATCTTTGTCATATTTACTGTTTTAATGGAACAGAATTGGGGGGCAGAATATTAAAGGATACAAGGTATTAATATACTATAGTTTAATCTTGAACATATGACATGTTCTTATATCTAAAATTAATTCATTGGTCACTACCAAGCAGTTCAAAATGTGTATGATACCTTTTGAATTATATAGTCATCATGGAGATAACCAAAATTAATAAGTAGATGAATTGAATTCTATTTTTTTTCTATTTGTATGTATAGTTTGTTCTTATTATTTATGTTTTTTTTGGGGGGGGGAAGGTTCGAGACAGGGTTTCTCCACAACTTTGGAGACTGTCCTGGAACTAACTCTTGTAGACCAGGCTGGTCTCAAACACAGAGATCTGCCTGCCTCTGCCTCCCAAGTGCTGGAATTAAAGGCGTACACCATCACCAGTTGGCCCTCATATATTTTTGAGACAAAGTCTCACCTTGTAGCCCTGGCTCCTTGAACCAGGTTCTGTAAATCAGGTTGGCCTTGAATTCACAGAGATCTGTCTGCCTCTGTCTCCTAAGTGTCAGAATTAAAAGCATATGTTCATTTTTATTTCATGTAGTTGCATACATGCATAGTAATTTCATAGTTGAAGCAGTCATATGCACAGAACAGTCATAAGGATGGTACAAATACCATTTGTAAGTTGGGAGTAAGATGTCCTATCATTCTTAAAACTCATGTATGCATGAAACAAGCATGGTTCATAATTTCATACAGCCATCAAACCTAGCAAATTAACACTGAGAAATCATCACTATCTAGTCTACAGACTGTTCAAGTTCTTTTAGTTGAATGAGAGTTGTCCCTAGAATGTCCCCTATAGCCACCAAGGTCCAATTCAGAATCCTGCTTTGCTTGTTGTCATGTCTCTGTAGTAGTCTTTAATCTGAGACATTGTGGTTTTGCTGTGTTTTTATTCTCATGACTGGACCTTTTGAAGAAGCAAGCCAGTTACTTTGCATGCTGCTCCTTTCTGTGAATTTGTTACTTCCTGAAGTAGGTTCATTTTAGAAAGCAAGTAATTCTGTGTTCCATTCTGTCCACAGGCTGTCATGTAACATCATTGTATTTTTTTTTTTTTTTTTGAGACAGGGTTTCTCTGTATTGTTTTGGAGGCTGTCCTGGAACTCACTCTGTAGACCAGGCTGGCCTTGAACTCACAGAGATCCGCCTGCCTCTGCCTTCCGAGTGCTGAGATTAAAGACGTGTGCCACCAACGCCCGGCACATCATTGTATTCTTAATGACTTTGTCACTTGATGACATAGTGTGTTTTCTAAGCCTCATTTCTAAGTCATTCTCTTTCCCTTTTGATTTTTTTTCATGTATCCCAAACTTACTATGTAGCTGAGTTGGCCTTAACTTGTGAGTCTCCTGATTCCACTTTTCAAGTACTGACGAAATTACAAGTGTGTCCCACCATGTCCTGGTTTTCCTTTTTACCCCTTGTAATTAATTGTTTTGTTAACAGTTTCTCTAAAACTGTTCCCTATCAAGTTATTTATAAACAAATTGATTCCTATTTTATTCGGTGTATTGTTTATTTTGATGCTCATGTTTTCCCAAGCTTGGCCAATGTAAACTGCTTCAAAATACCTTCATGTTATTCAACATGAATGTATCATTCTTTGGGCTCTAACTTTCTGACCAAGAAAATGTTCCAGGTTTATTTGGTATTTCCATCTGAGTCCTGGAATTAACAAGTTGTTTGGTAAGTTTTGTGATAAGATTTGAAAGCATAAGTTTACAGTTATTTCTGTATAGATATATAGTGGATGTCATGCAACCTCTATTAAGTTCAATTTGAGTCTGATACTATAAAGGTTATTAAAGTATTTTCACCTTCTCATATTTGTAGTAATAGTTCTCATCTACAGATATGTCTATCAATATTCATTGACTGAAGATGGGGTTATATCTGAATAAATTTATTTTTTTTCTGAATAAATCTATTGTAAGTTGAAAGTGCTGTAAGTTCAAAATGCATATATATCTACCCAATATCATAGCTGAGCACTGCAGTTAATGGTAGAGTCTTGGTTGTTTATCACATGATAAACAGTCCTGGGGATTTACTGGAAGCTGTGATTCACTGCCACTGTCTCTCATCACAAAAGATAATGCGACTGCTATCCTTAGTCAGGGAAAGATCAAAAGAATAGTTTCTGTTAAATGTGTGTTGCTTTCACACTATTATAAACCCCCATATGCATTTCTCCAGTGTGAATACCGACTGTATTTAAACCACCGAATTATTCTTAGACTATTTTATTTGTGAGGAGGTAGGGCTTATGAAACTGTAGTGTTCAGTTATCTTACATACTGCACAATGGTATAAAGAACTCCTTTGAAGTTATCTACTCTGGAGATGTGGTTTGACAGGGAGAATTATGGAGCAGGGAGAAGGCATGCTTGAGGAAAACTGTTGATTTTTAGCTAGGATGGACATAGCATTTTTATGTCAAAGTGTGGCCACTCTGAAAAATTGAAATACGTTTTTTATTATAAAATTTGCCACTTTAAATTGTGTGATGAAAATTTGTAGAATGCTCAAACTTTCCTACATCAGATGCATCATCTGAATCCCCACAAGCAGTGCATGAGATTACAGTGTTTCATAGTGGCTACACTAGTTCACATTCCCACAGCAACATAAAGGGTTTCTTTCTCTCCCTGTCCCTGTTCCCAGTATCTTCATCAGCATTTGTTTCTTTTTGTTTCTTGATGATAGCCATTCTGACTGCAGCGAGACAGGATCTCAATTGTGGCTTTGATTTGTGTTACCCTGATGAGCCTAAACAGATTGACTTGTCAGTTATTTATTGGCCAGCTGTACCTCTTCGTTTGAAAAATGCATTTTCAGTTCATTTGCCCATTTGTTGTAGATTCTCTTAGGTGTTTAATATTTTATTGATCCTCTTTGAGATAGATAGCTGGCAAGATTCCCTACCATTCTTTAGACTGTCTCTTGACTCTGGTGATTGCTTCTTTCACTTTATAGGAACTATTAGTTTTTTGTGTGTGTGTGCATGTGTGTGTGTGTGTGTGTGTGTATACTGGCATGTACATGATAGGACAGTTTGAAAGTTCTTTTTTTTTTCTTCCAAGACAGGGTTTCTCTGTAGCTTTGGAGCCTGTCTTAAAACTAGCTCTTGTAGATCAGGCTGGTCTGGAACTCACAGAGATCTGCCTGCCCCTGCCTCCCAAGTGCTGGAATCAAAGGCATGGGCCACCACCCAGGAGTAGATTCTTAAATTCCACTTTGTTGATGTGACATTTCTTTTGTTTCTGCCTCTGCATGGCAGACATACTGTGGGCTAGTTGGCTTTTGAGTTTCCAGCCAGTTTTCTTCTCCCTCCTCCTATTTCCCCCATAGAAGTGGTAGTATTACAGATGCAAATCGCTACATTGGGTTTATTTAATCTGGGCTCCGGGGTACAAACTCAGGTCCTCAGGTTTGTATGGCAAAGCACTTTT